TAGTTAATTTCCACCTTTCCTCTTGACTTTTGATTCCATCAATTTAACTTAGCTCCAATAAATTTCTGCGTTTTTGTGCTTTGCTGTTGTCTAATTAACAACACTTGAAGTAATTTGGTAAATTTTGACTGCCAGTGGAGCAGAGAGAATACGTATTTCGTCCTATTTGAGATTTTTCATCTGGCAATGTACTCACATTCTTCAGTGAGTGAGTGAATGAATGAATGAATGATAATGTGTCTGCTGAGACTGGAACACAATATCCATAGTTTCCTATACTGGAGAATTATCTACTGTTTGTCTGTTTTTGACAGAGAACTTTGCACATATGAGCGGCAGTTCAAGTCGCCACACTCCCTCCTTGAAGCACACAAAGCAAGAAAAGAAATGCATAATAGAGACAGTGAACAGAGGTGTGAGACAAAGGAATAGTAAAAACGAAGAGCAATATAGTTTCATTAGAAATCATAAGTCACAGAGATGCATCTGCGCTATGCATTGAGAACGATTTTGAGCCATGTCACCCATTGTTTCAGCGTTCATTGATTTTTACCGTCCCGAGGACCCCAACCAGTCAGGCAGTCTACACCTTCCTACGTGGCTTAAACTAACTGTTGTGGATTTCATTGACAGATGAAGCCATGTTTTGGTTTGACCACCACTAGCTCTTTTCCAGCCTGACCCTGTCAGCTAAGATTGCCTGTTGTCGAGGAAGGGGATGACTAGGCGTACATAACGCATGTCCTAGCCATCTCAGTCGATGTAATTTCACAGCCTCGTTGATTGATTTCCCCGCCTTACCTAGCACTCTACGTCTAACCTCAATATTGCTCACCTTATTATACCACTTCACACGGGAGATAGAGCGCAGGCACCTATGATCAAAGATAGCTATCTGGTCTTTTCATGTCTTCCACTCTCAATGGCCAGGTCTCACAGCCATAAAGAAGGACGGAGCGAACTGCTGATGTGCAGTACACCCGCCCTTTGGTCGATAGCCAGCCGGATATCACGTCTACTAAGCCAGAGACGGCATAAACTGGCATATGCGAAACGAGCCCTCTGTATCCGTGCTGAGATTTTGTCAGAGATCAACCCGCTGGGACTGGCTGATGCAACTTCCCAAATAAGTGAAGCGGTCAACACGCTCAGTCACCACTTCACTCCCTATTTCTAAACTAGGAGTCAATGTAGCCCAGTCCTGTAACATCATCTTACATTTGACGGGAGCGAATCGCATGCCATTATCTACTAGACTGCTTTGACCACCTGTGGAATGCAGGTACATCCAGATGACGAGTCTCAGACAGGAAGAAGTGCTCATTCCAAATACTATTTGCTAGTCATAAACCATCAGATTGCTTCAAGTTAATCCTCGGACACTGTTAAAGCGTCCATAATAAGAGCCGACATGCATGTTAACTTATTCTGAACAATCAATCAATCTACTTCAGTGTCATTTTATGGCATTTCACTGTTCTCCGTTTACTGGAATATGTAGTTAAAATGTCAATATTAATTTATGTGTGGGCACTGTGGTAGTAAGTAATTCTACATTAGTTTGTTTATTAGATGTATCACACACACAGTGTGAAACAGTATTATTTACTGGATGATACAGCTTCGAACAAAATTTATTGTTCATAATCATATTATAACAACAGAAGACAAGGGCCGGCAACAGATCCTTTTATTACGGAAATCAGCACGTATTTATACATATTTCATGTACATTATTATAGCTTATTCAAGCAGACAAACACAGTCTTCTGATTGGTTGTTTCTGGTTTCTGGAAAGTTACGCCATATATCTGCGAATCTTATTTGCCCACGTTAAGTCTGCTGTGACTGGTTGTTGAATCAGCCTTGTTCATATTTTCTCATGGCCAATATTAGCGACCTAGACATTGACGTAAATTAATGTCTACCAAATTGGCTAGCAGCCTGCTCTCACCACAATATCATCAATTATAATCACACGACTTTCAAACTTGAATCTTATAGTTTCCTTTGTCTTCTCCTATTTGTCGTCGTTGGGATAGTAGAATTTTTCAGATATCCACCTGGACAAGTGTTGAATCATTCCTATTACATGTATTCGCCTCAGTTGATTCGATAAACGAAGCTTCTGTTATCAATCTCTCCCTATACCCCTGTGACTTTAGATTTTAAAACTGTCATCCTATCCCATCCAGCCTATTGTATGTCTGTGTGTAACTTCGTGTAGTGCTACAGCTGAACTATTCTCTAGATTTCTTATCTTATTTGGGTCAACCAATCTAGATTTTGGTAGGTTTTAATGCTCGGCTAGTCTGACTGCCCCTGTTCTACTAGTTTGACCTATGTATTTGACCTGACAATCATCGCAGACAGGGTATTAGATAAATTAAATTGTTTTGTTTTAAAGGCTCCACAGGGTTGACCCTTTAACCGACAAAGCTTGTTTCTAATTGAGTTTGTGGGCTTGAATAATAATGTTAATAATAATAGTGATAATAATAATGTTATTATTAATATTAATGACGACACCAACAATAAGGAATCCAAATCATCAGTAGTAATTCCATACAAGCAAGGAACCTCGAGAATTGGTTTCATTCTACCCTCGTATGATTACTATTTCTGATTCATCTAAAACTATCTTTTATCAGTAGCATTATCTTGACTCATTTCAACATTATTAATATTATTATCATTTTTGTTATTATTATTACTCAGTTGTCAATTGTTGATATTTTTAAGTTCTTTCTCTAATGACTAATTGTTCATCTAAGTAATGTAATTGAAGCGTAATGCATTTTATCTTAATTTTAATTTGTTATACTTCCTTCCTCTTATCTATTTGGAAATGACCTGGAAAACATTCACATGTATCGTTTTGTATGACTAGCTCAAGGTAGTTTATTTGCTTATCAGTCTTGTTACCTCCCAGTGTATTTCTAATAGTATATATAGGCCTGTATGTAGAGTATTCAGCTGAAGAGTCCTAGGGAGACCTGATAAATTCATTAAATCCTGCTTTATTACCCCCCCCTGTATGTTGCTTGTTTTAAATTCGTATCAGGAAATAAATGTTTCTAATAGGATTCAGTGTACACTGACTGACTCCAGGATCTAGACGCATAGCATTGGTTACATCAACTACTGTTCTACGAAAAATCAATCGTGATCCTGAATAGCTTATTGGTAATATCTCTGATTGCAGTATTGGGTGACGCGACGGGTTCCAATCTCAAAGAAGAGATACCAGTTCTTTGAGCTTAGCAGATACACCTTCTGATGATCACCTTCAGGTGTTAAGCATTGATTAGGTGTAGTATCATTAGCTTATGCAATAGATAGTGCGTCAGTAGTACAGCCGTAGTATGCTCGTCAATCACGCCTCATGTGGTCTAAGGTTCGATCCCCGGCCACTGCTACCGAAACTTGAAGTCTCTAGCTTAAAGAAAAGCCCTATGTTCCACTGGGAAGATGTAGGAATAAGAAAAAGGCGCAATAGATGTGGCTTTATGCTTAAGATATTGAAAATTATTCACAGTTTTTAAACACATTACTGACTGGCTGACCGACCGAGTTTCAACACAGAAACTTTGTACATAAGTCCAGCAATTCAAGTTGTCACACTTTATGTGACACAAAAGTGTAGAGAAAAGAGACTCAGAAGAATTCTTCTGATAAGTAGAAACGTCTAAGAGTAAGAATAGTAACATGCGAAAATATGACGCTTTATTGGATTTTGGAGATTAGAATTTAATTTGTGGATGGTGACTAGCAGTGGTGGAATCAAGGATAACGCGCATTTCGTCCTATTTGGGAATAGTCATCCAGTGGATGTACCTGCATTCCCCAGTGAGTAACGATGTTCCTGCCGAGGCTCGAACCCAGTGCCCATAGTTTCAAATACCAAAGCGTTATCCACTATACCACTTGGGCCACGAGAGCCACCTCTTGTGCAACGGGTCAATTTAACTTTTTTTGATTTTCCCGTCGATTGATTGGACCGAAGTGCTCGGTCTCTGGGCACTGGGATCGAGCCTCAGTGGAGACATCATCACTCACAAGGGAATGCAGGTACATCCACTAACTGACGAGTCCCAAATAGGACGAAATGCGCGTTATCCTTGATTCCACTGCTAGTCACCATCCACACATTAAATTCGAATTAATTAAATGCCCAGACATTGCCGAAGCATCTGCACAAGAAGCCGATATGTCAACCTGAGACTGAGCACTTCGATCCAATCGACTGACGGGAAAATCTAAAATTCAGTCAGATTTTAGAGATTATTACGAAGATTGAGTAGATCTGTGCCACTGAGTACAAATTTTAGTCATATAACCAATACTCGATAGTGATTGATTTTTAGCATTGAGAAGACCCCAACCAAGCAGTCTACACCTCTCTACATGGCTGGCTGAAACCGGCTGTCGAAGACTTGATAAAGTGAAATCAAATTTTTGGCTGACCATTACTAACTCTTTTCCAATCCAGTCACTGCTATGTGAAATAACATTGCTGGAAGAGAAAGGTAGTAGTGGCTCAGCATGCTTTAGCACGAGTCTCATTCATCTCAGTTGATGTGACTTCAGAATGTCATGGATTGACTTACTCTCCTTACTTAGAACTGTGCGCCTAACCCACTGTATTGTATCACGGCGGAGAACTGAACGCAATGGAGACGAGCTGGTGAAGCCCTATGTTCCTCTAGGAATTAAAGGAAAAAATAATCAATAATAATAATGTGTTTATTGGTAAAGGGTAGACTACAGCCAGATATGATGATCTACTTTAATAAGTGAATATTGTTTATTCGATCAATTTTTTTGTTATGTATCAATCATTGTTTTATATTTTTGTCAGTCTTATGTGTGTGTGTGTGTGTACCATGATCGAGATTTCTATTTCTTATTTGTTTGTGTTATTCTATTTGTAATTGTCTTACAGTTATCAATTCGTCTGTATATTTATTGTACTGCAACGTGTCTACTAGTCAACAAAAATGTATGCCATTCGTTCATCGTCTGCTCTACGCCTATTCCACTTCTTCTGCTTCGTCATTATCCTCTTCTCCTTTACAACTACTGTACAACTTATCCGTTCATATGGTGATGAAGTGAGTTTTGCCTGTCGTTTTGGAAAAAAATTAATCTCTATTTTAGATATTGTCTGCAAACAGTACATCGTGTGATAATACCAGCCTATATCATATATCCATCACAAATGAAACACATAGAACCTGGTTTCTAATTATGGCTGAGGTGCATCATCCACCAGCTGTTATTTTAGTGCATACAAAAGGTGATTCTGAATTGAGTGTCAACTGTTCTGGATTCCATACTTCAAATGCATTAGAGTATAGAAATACAGTTAATATTACCAATGTTATTCAATCCTATGGATGGATCTTACACAGGGTTTGTGCATATATATATATATATATATATATATATATATATATATAGTGTTGTTATTATTATTATTACTAATACTTTTATTCCATATGATTAGATTATGCGTTATAATGATACAGACAATACTGGAATAATTCCAGAAGCTGCTTCAACATCGACTAAAACATTCTTGGGAAGTAATCTGGACTGGAAGTTGACTAAACTCGACGATTCCAACAAGGAACCAGTGACAATTGAATTTCAAGCTCAGCATTCTTTAGATAGTCATGAAAAAATTAATGGTGCTATCAAGTTAATTGTGAGTTGTGAATAAACTTTAATAATAATAGTAATAATAATTTACTTTATTCCAAAACAGTACTTGTGATGCAGAATGGAATTCCCAGCATTTTACTACAGTATTGCATCCAGTTAGTAAATTAACAATAAATTAAAATTCTACATAGATTATGGGTAATCTCAGTTAGTTTTGACAACAACATATTGGCATGTCGGTAGCAAAGCCAAAATCAAACAGACTGTTTGAAGGTGTTAGAAAAGTAGATAGATACTAGCAATATTTACTGGCGTAAGCGGTAACAAAAAGGTCAAGATATACAGTGTGAAAGAACGAAGAAGAAGAATGTTTTAAGTGGAGTTTGTAAGGAAGAGAGAAACAAAGCTGCACATAACAAAAAAATAGAGAGAGAAGAGCAAAAGAAAGAAAGAAAACGTTGTACCTATACATGACATGTGTTGGAAAGACAAGATCCAGTTGTTCTACTGACTATTTAATAACTTAGCTATAGGTATCACGCCTAATGCTTTCTTCTTTGTCGTACAGAACACGAGCTAAGTAGGGTATGGTTGAATTTTTGTACTTACTAGTGTTAGCGTATAGTTTTCTATATAGGCTTCTGGTCCTGCCTGCCTGATGAAATACAAGGGGAGAGTTGTGAATGAAGAGGATGGTGTGAGTTAGATAGATAGAATGCATTCAGCCCATTTTTCTCACATGAGTCCATGTGCCTGTCAACCAGAATATTAACAAGCTGGTTAAGTGGCACGTTGCTTACCCTGCTGACAACCTTTAACATCCTGAGTAATAAGGCAAAGTCTGTTTGGAATTTGGAGGGATGTAAGGTAAAACCGTTTTCCTTGGACCACTGGCTGATTTCTGATAAAAAGCCACTTAGTTTAGTGCGGTCACTTTGACATTTGACAGGCAAAGATACAGTCAGGTCGTCAGCATATTTGACAAAATTAATGTCATTTGAAGATGGTAAGTCACGTAGAAAGAAAGAAAAGAGAAGTGGGGAGAGTACAGCACCTTGGGGGACACCAGCATCAGTGAGCACGGTAGAGGAGGATTTGCCTTTGTATACGGTATACTGCATTCTGTTTGAGAAGTAGGAATGCAACCAGCTTTTGACCCAGAACTCAGTTTATGTTACCGAGAGCTTATTTAGCAAGAGACATTTAGGTACAGAGTCGAAAGCAGAAGTGAAGTCGAGAAACGTGCAGCGGACGTATTTGGCACGTTTATCTAATGATGAAACGATACTGTTGTGTAAGACGGCTGCAGCGTCTAAAGTGCTCCTACCCTGTCTATAGGCAAATTGTTTGGGGTCTTCAAAACTTTTAAGGGAGGGTTCGAGTTTAAGAAGTACTAGTTTTTCCATGAGGCTTAGATAAGTGGAAGTGATGGCAATAGGTCTGAAGTTCACGTTCTTGTTATTGCCAGGTTTAGGGACAGGGACTATTTTAATGTCTTTCGATGGAACAGGTACAACGTTTTTAGAGAAAGAAGCATCGAATCCCGGTGGGTGTGTACTGCTGAAGAGTTCCAAACTGGGATAGAGGAAACAGCTGTCCAGTACTCCCAAGATTTCCAATGATTCTCTAACTAATATCAGCTCATGATGAAATACTGTAACCAATCAATCAAATCCCTATAAACCAATACTTGAATATAAATATCTGTTGATTTTCTCAATAAACGATGTGTTGCCTGTCTCTTGTCTTCTGTCCTTACAATATGATATCGATGTTTTATCAAAGTTGCATTACTACTCACTCACTCACTCACTCAATCATTAAATATCTCTATGTCTCTTATATTTCTCTATCTTTTGTTTCCTATCTGTTTATAGTTTCAAGTCTACCAAAATCCAATGAAACCGATAAAGACATTATATTATGAAATTGAAAATTCGTTCACTCTGCTTGCAGAACTTATATTAGATCAAGTTGATGTTGTTAACGAAGTTCAGAGATTTGCACCTGTTCTACTCATATTTTCAAATCATTCCTTGGAGGATAATCAAGATTATTTAGAACAGAATGCAGTACAAGTGAATGCAGAAGAAGGTCCTCTTGGACGAAATATACAGGTATCTTTTCACTCTCCTTTTAATTTTAGTCCATATTTCTTCCTTTTACCTCTGTCTCTTTTTTTGATTTGTTCATCATAAACTGGCTCCATTCACGCGGTGAGGGATTATCCCTCATGAAGGTGAAAAGTCCGACGCCTAAAATCCAACCAGTGGATATCCAAGCGTACCTAGGTAGGAGGGCGGTGTGGAGGAATGTACATCGATCGACAGAATCTCAAAATTGATCAAATAACCTGTGAATCTGTATTGATCACTGGAAGGCAATGGAATGAAGCTTTTTTTTTCTTAACTCAGCTCCATCTGCCTAGTCAGTCAAACAGACTTCAAAGTCAAAAGTTTAGAGGGCTGGGTTTTGTGGATGGTTCGTTAAGACATGCCCTTGCCTCGGTCTAAGTGTTCAGACAGTATCCCGGCTATCTCAGAAACTATGAAATCTTGCCTTGTGTATCTTTTGGTGCGCATAATGTGCCACGTTTGAGTTTAAATGATAATGTTGACATTATAAAACACATTTATATCATATAACAGTATAAAAGATTTGTAGCTCAAGTAGGGAGGGTGAGGGAATTTAGATGTGGTACAGTTGCTCTCTCACAACCGGATGGTGTTGTTTAACAGAACGCAGCTTCCTTTTCCATCATTCATTTCACAGCACTAATTTTGGAAGAAACCAACTGAGGAGATTTAGAAACCCAAGTGTACAGAAAATCAACACACATATACACGCATCAAGACCAAATACTCATCTGTAACAGTGATAATTCAATGACTCACAAAACAAACTGTATGCAGACATTGTTTACAAGAGTTCAAACATACTGGAGGACTCCACTAATGGAGAGAAAAGAGGAAAAATACCTACTAACTGTCTTCAAGAAGAATGGATATCCTCAGAGTTTCATCAAAAACTGTCTCAACTGCAGTCATAACACCAGCAACAAGCCAACATCAAAGACCACATGAAAATTCACCAGTCTACCATATACATAAAATGTGTCTCTGAAGTAACACCTAGAATATTAAGACCATTTAAGACAGATAGATGGATAGATACAGCAAACAAGCCAGTCAGCCAGCCAGCTAGACATCACAATTACTTCATTCGATATTGTGAGAGCCGAACCGAAAGATCTAACAGGAAAAGAAGAAAGAAGTAATACCATTTACAAACTAAATTGTATGAACTGTTAGAAACATTACGTAGGTCAAAAAGGAGTCTCTTTCGAATAAGAATCCATGAACACAAATTAGCTGCAAAGAGACACGATATGTATATTCTCTCATCATATGGATCCATGTAGAAAAAATACGAACATGAATTTGATTCGGAGAGTACAGGAAACACCAAAAAATGCTGGAGCGTTCCTACAAGCTTCGTATACAAATGAATCAACCATCAGCTAACAAACGCACATTTCCATCGACCACATTTACCAACTATTAAGGAATTAGATACATGATAAAAAGTCGTCAAATTCCAAGTCAGTCAGAACCATCAATACTAATAATAATGTAAATTAACAAGGAATCACAACAATCATTGTCAGCTGAAATATAACTATGCCATCATTCATTGACAATTCAAACGAGTTCATTTCATCATCAAAGCCCTGTGCTGAACAGTCAATCTAACAATGGACAATGACACCTTCGTAAATTAATCCACTCGCTCAGGAACCCCACAAGAAACAAATCGAAAAGAAAAAAATCATCCACATCAGCCACGAATTCCCTCTATATTATGATTTACTGGAAGATGTTACAATTTCAGTGAAAAAAAGTGTTTTATCAAACTCAAATGAAAATACTCACAACAAGGAATCATTCTCAGAAATCACAAGAAACGGTCAAAACCCAGTCAACATTAGTTAAGTTCATTTGAAATAGCACACAGTGATGTGTTCTATTGATATAACTGTATGCCGATCCAAGCAAAAATTATTGCTCATAATCATATGAATCTAGTCACACGACTTCATAATTCCATTTAGATATTTCTATCTCTCCCTTTATCTCACTACACGATGCTGTTTTGTGCGACTTTGCATATATCTGGTATCGGTGTTGCATCATTTCGATTGCATATGCGCTGTATTGGATCGATAAATAAAAATACGTTAGCTGATCTCTCTTTCACTCCACCTAACTACATCACTCATTATCACTCTCACCCTGTCCCGCTCAACCTATTTTGTGATTACATGCAATGACCGAGATGCTTTTTTCATGTTATTCAGCATACCGAAATGAATCATTCCAGGCCTAGCTAAATTTTTATGTTCCAATAATCTGATTGACCCAAATCTACTAGTTTCGCCTATGTAACTTTTCTACACTATTATCGAAACCATTCGGAATTGATTACCACACATACAAACGAACACAATCAATCACTTCATATCAATCAATGTTATGCACAGTGCTCTTGAACTGTCTGTTAGAGAAGGGTGTACCTGAGAAGATTGTTGAACACCTGAAAAACTCACGTGGAAATACCTCAGGTGCAGTGAGGTCATACAACCAGTTATCATCATCACTGTCCTCAACTACTAGTGGAGTTAGCTGACAAGGTTGTCCAATTTCCTAACACTGTCTCTCTCTCTCTCTCTTTGACTTTGAAATCGATGACATTCTGGAGTCAGCTCTAAACGACGTCCAAGGTAGTGATGGTGGTGGTTGTGGTGTGGATCTGTTTCCTGGGGAAAGAAGTCTTTCCAACCTCAAGTATGCAGACGAAATAATCTTACTGTGGGACAGCATCCAGGTTGACCAAATCAAACTCAACCGGTTGACTGACAACCAGTGTCTGTGTGTTTAGAACGTACCATTACAAGGTTGACAGGAATCTGTACACTCACTAACTGTTGCAGATGAACCGCTCCAAGCTGTAGACAAGATCATGTATCTGGGTAGTTATGTGGGTGCTGGCGAAGGTGTGACGGCCGAGATTTCTGAGCGTATCATGAAAGCTACGATGACATACATCAACTTTAGCCACCTCTGACGCCATCTAGCCGTCAGCCTGGTTGTCGATGGTTGGGTTGACAATGCTTCGGTGCGTGATCTCTTGCTCTACGCCTCTGTGAAACCTGACGTCTCCGAGCTGAAGATGTGTGTCTCCGCCGGATTGCTTGCATTCGGTGGCATCATCATGTGATTAATTCCGAAGTCCGTTGGCGTGTGTTTGGACACAGTGGAAATAACCATTCGTTGAGTGTCGTCATCTGGAAACACCGGCTTAAGTGGCTACACACATCTGCTATTAATGTCACTTCAGAGGCTTATCTACTGATCTTTGTTTGCTAGCCAGCTGTGAGACAGGGTGGAAAAAGGAGAGAGATGGTCAGCCTATCACGCAATATCATGCGGTGATGGATATTTGTGAGTTAGGCTAGATGTGATTGGTACATCACGACTCCTCCCTGGTTGGAGTCGGAGAGATGGCTCGAATCGGTGGCTTGAATCATTATTGGATATGGCCAAGAATCGCAGTCGTGAACAGCGAACGTGATGCAATTTCCTTCTTTCTTCCCTCCCTCTGTTTGAACTTGTTAAATCTGACTGCTTTCCTCCAAGATGAAGTACTTTATCCGCTCTCTATCCATAGATTACTTTTTTCTTATGTGTTATTTTATTATTATTATGTGGCGTATCTTCTTGGTGCCATATTGTACCAAGGTCTTGTGCTTAAGCAATAGTAATAATGATGCACAGTCCAAAAAACCCGCCAAGCAGGTAAAGTAGTCAAGAGCAATACTATCGGTAAAATAAATGACATCAATTGTGATATATACCATATACTGGTCAAAGTGGGTATCTTCTTCGACTGTGAATCAGAGAACATGAAGTAGTTGTCTAAAGTCACTTGAACGTGTCTTTCTTTCACATTTAATGCAATACAGACAACTATGGACACCAATCTGACTCAATAGATGCAGACATTTCAAACAGATGAAACACTGAGATATGTCAGTGAACTCTAAGAATCTTAATAGTCACACGAATCAGTGGGGTTGACAGACACTCATTCTTATAGATCTTGATAATCCATCAGACGCTCACAAGCCACCACTGGCTCGCCTTGAGAGTTCTAGTGAGAAGGCGTAACCAATAGGGTTCCTCATATCAAGAGTGAAAAGAGATCAGCTACTCGCTACTTGGGACACTGGTTAGTGGTTGTGGCGTACATATTTGCCAATTGGCAGAGGTTGGTGTATTCATTTGTTGGCTATTGGATCGAGTCTCAGTAGTTGAATGGTCTATGAGCCTACTTTCTAACCAGAAGGTCCTAGACTGGAACCTTTAGCGGTGGGTGGATGCGTACTGATGAGGAATGCCTAACTAGGTTGACGAAACAGCTGCCCAGTACTCCCCAGCTGGTTTTCCGATAGTTCTTCAATATTAATTTTACCTGTTACATAATAATTAATTGTACCATACCCGATGTATATATTAATTGATGTTGCTTTAAATCATGGTATTTTGCGATCCAATGATATTCCTGATTCCTTTCTTCATCACCTTCCAAAACCCATGGTTGGATCCAAAAAATCGGATGAATTATTCACACGATGGTGAATGCAACCCATAGATGATAATTAGTTATATCCCGCACATTCATCAACATGTATTATCCTTTCTGACAATACTAAGCGCTGAACATTTGGGGATTAATACTTCGGTACTTCTATTGGATATTGTTTTCAATAAAACTTAATCTGCACACCCACACTTGATTAACCCTTCTTGCTCCCGTATAATGCTTCTTCCCTAATGAGGACAGTTTCATCGGTGTGAATAACTACTCCTTCTGCTGCAAGACACAGCCTCCAACTTCCACAACAGGCTATTTCTTGTCTCAGTTGCTGGTGCTGATCTTTCTTGCTGAGTTTTTCTAAAATTCGACAGTACAGTATATACGCCGTAGGATATCTAACCAGGACAGATTAGACTTGCAGAAAAAAAGTACCTAAGAAATATTGTAAAATCCTAAACCCTTACCGATCGATCACAAATCGATTGTCTCTTATGACATGCATCGTATGCATAGCAGTATTCATTTTCAACAAGTTGTTTGCATTGCTTTATTGTCGTTGTCTCTTCACAAACACAACTCTTCGTCGATTCAATTATTCTAGCGTTATTAATAAATACACCAGTTAAATGTTTGATCTTTGCGTCGGTGGCACAGTAGTTTGGACTCTCGCCGACCATGCACATGGTCCGGGGTTCGAGCCAGCACCGACGCACACCTGATATCTATGGTCGGCCTGCAAAATTTGGGCTACCGATATCCATGCTGAAAATTCCATACTTGTACCGAAAATACAGTGTGGAATCAAGGTGTAAATCAAAAATAAAATAAAAATAAATAAATTCACTAATCAGAGCTATAGTTGCACGCGTGATTTCCATCTAGAATAATCTTCCAAATCGATCGATGAATCTGACCAGTCCTCCAAGGTCATCATTAAAAGACCTTGACTGAGGCTGTGATACTATAACTTCGCCCTATTATCATTATTATTACTTTTTGTAGCGATTTTGCTTGATTGGTTGAAGGATTTCATCATGAGCTGATATCAGTCAGAGAACCATTGTAAAACCGGCCGCAGGGAGTATTGAACAGCTAGCTGTTTCGTCAGCCTAGTGTGGGACTCTGCTTCATCAGTACGTAGCCACTACAGTGGCTCGAACCCCAGGACCTTATGGTTACAAGGCGAACGAGCTCATAGACCATTAGGTCACTGAGATCCGATCCAACGGCCCGTAAATTCTAACTTCTTCCAATTCATGACATAGCGCGACCGCTAGCCAATGTCTCATCTTCAACCTGCTCCACCCTACTGGTCACGGCTTCCCACTAGTATCCCAGGTTAACTACCTGAATAGGGCTAGTCGCTAGTGAGCATCAGATTAAATTTTTCAAGTATTGAATTTTGTACGGTTTTTGTTTGATTGCATGGAGGATTTCATCATGAGCTGATATCAGTCAACGAACTTATTATTGTTGTTATTATTACCATGTAACTTAAATAGCTTTTTATGTCTGCGTTTTTGGTTATTTATTTATTTATCTTTTTGACTTCTCTATTGTCTCCACCAGTCAACATTTATTGAATTAGGAACACGAAAGTCGAAGACTGACAGTCATCAAGAATGGATATCACCGAATGCCTATTTACATTTTCCAGCGGCGTTTTGGACGAACAGAGAAGAAAATAAAGCTCAGGCGGTAAAACTCGGCCCGAGAAGAATTTTCAACCACAAGGTGATAAAAACGCGAACTTATCATCTAAGCTTACCGTTTGCATTCTATGGCAGTAGATTTGAACAGATTCATGCTGAGGCAAACGTTATGCATGTAGCAGCACGTGAACAAATTATTAATCTGGGCAGTCCAAAATCCTCTTACTACATAGAAACGAATTATTCCTCTTGGTAAGCTAAGCTATATTTTGTCTTTGAGTTCTAATAATAGTAATAATAATTTGCTTTATTCCAAAACAGTACTTGTGATACAGAATGGAATTCTCAGCATTTTACTACAGTATTGCCTCCAGTTAGTAAATTAACAATAAATTAAAACTCTACATAGATTATGGGTAATCTCAGTTAGTTTTGACAACAACATATTGGCATGTCGGTAGCAAAGCCAAAATTAAACAGACTGTTTGAAGGTGTTAGAAAAGTAGATAGATACTAGCAATATTTACTGGCGTAAGCGGTAACAAAAAGGTCGAGATATACAGAGTGTGAAAGAACGAAGAAGAGTGTTTTCAGTGGAGTTTGTAAGGAAGAGAGAAACAAAGCTTCACATAACAAAAAAATAGAGAGAGAAGAGCAAAAGAAAGAAAGAAAACGTTGTACCTATAAATGATATGAGTTGGAAAGACAAGATCCAGTTGTTCTACTGACTATTTAATAACTTAGCTATAGGTATCACGCCTAATGCTTTCTTCTTTGTCGTACAGAACACGAGCTAAGTAGGGTATGGTTGAATTTTTGTACTTACTAGTGTTAGCGTATAGTTTTCTATATAGGCTTCTGGTCCTGCCTGCCTGATGAGATACAAGGGGAGAGTTGTGAATAAGGAGCGTGGTGATGTGAGTTAGATAGATAGAATGGATTAAGCCCATTTTTTTCACATGAGTCCATGTGCCTGTCAACCAGAATATTAACAAGCTGGTTAAGTGGCACGTAGGTTACCCTGCTGACAACCTTTAACATCCTGCGTATTAAGGCATAGTCTTTCTTCAGTAGCCCTGGAAAAACTAAGGGGGGTGGGGGAACAATAGAGAATAATAGGCAGAATACGGGAGTTAGCAAATTGTAGGAGTAAGGGTTGGGTTATTGCAGAATGTCTTAACTTCTTGATGTAGAAGGTGAGACGGAATATTTTCTTAGATTCTTATCGAAATTATAAAGAAGGAGATTTAGATTCTTTTTGAAATTATTTGGGAAGAAGATTTGTAGCCTACATGGATAATATTGAATGAGATGTGTTGTCTGAGAAGATGATTGATTTAATTGCGAAGATTTCATCGACCTCTTCACCTTCCTAACCACCATTCTAGACAACATCTTCCTTCCTTCAGTGCATCTCTCAGTATGAAATGAACTTATTCAAATTCCCCTTGTGAATGATGATATAATTGTATATCCCTAATGATAACCGTTGTAGTGACTGATCAACTTTTCTATTAATCATTTTGATTCATCACTGACTCGGAATTCGAACTTCCTTGTCGTGTGATGATTTACGTTTTATTATCAGTTGATAAATTTGGTCTATAGTGATGTGTTTATCGATTGCTGATTCATCGGAGTACCAGACTTCTAGAAAGTCGCTGACATTATCGGTGTTTCTTCTGTTTGAAATTTCTACACATTCTTCCAATCATTTCGACATTGTCGAAATCAGTCTTATGTCCTCTGTCCATCGCATGCATTACTATAGCCGATCTTTTTTTCTAGACTTTTTAATTCTACTTCATTTCTAGGTGGGGACGTTTCGTGCATAGTCTATGTTCATTCACTCTGACCTTCATCTGTCTACTGCTCTCCCCTATACATAGCATGCATCACATTCTGAACACTTTATCTTGTAGATACATTTACTTTGTGACATTTCGGGGACTATATCTTTGACATGCACCAGTGCTTTCTCCAGAGAATTAGAAGGTTTGACATAGACTTTAATATTATATGAAGCAAATAGTCTTTGAAGTTGTTCATCTATGTCCTTTCGTCGTCTATAGCCAAGATTTTTCAATTTTTTGTTTTCTCTTATGTGCTCCTTTCTATTGATGATATTATCTAGTAGCTTTTCAGGATAACCATTTCCAATCAAAATCTGTTTCAAATTGGTTATCTCGTTCTCCATATCACCATCATTATCTGTTGTTATAATGCTTCTAGCTCTGTTATAACGAGATTGAAAGATTCTGGCTGATCATCTTGTCGTCAGCATCAGTAAAAAGTGAAGCAGATGGCTGTTGGTCATAATCTGTTGAAAATACTTATGGCATGAGTATTTTGTACAATAAACTAGTGTGAGCAACTTGCCGTCTTCGTTACTTTCGCTGATACAATCTGATAACATATTTAGATTTCAAGTAACCTGTTAACAGAATCTTTTCAACATTGGAGAATTCATGTTACTTTTATAAAGGGAAGGCAGAAGAAGGAAATTGCAGCACGTTCGCTAATGATGACTGCAATTCTTTGCTGCACCTAATAACGTCTCGAGTGAGCCACCGATTCGAGCCATCTCTCCGACTTCCAACCAGGGAGGAGTCGTGATGTACCAATCACATCTAGCCTAACTCACAAATATCCATCACCGCATGATATTGCGTGATAGGCTGACCATCTCTCTCCTTTTTCCACCCTGTCTCACAGCTGGCTAGCAAACAGAGATCAGTAGATAAGCCTCTGAAGTGACATTGTTGGCAGATGTCGTAGCCACTGAAGCCGGTGTTTCCAGATGACAACACTCAACGAATGGTTATTTCCACTGTGTCCAAACACACGCCAACGGACCTCAACATTAATCACATGATGGTGCCACCGAATGCAAGCAATCCGGCGGAGACACACATCTTCAGCTCGGAGACGTCAGGTTTCACAGAGGCGTAAAGCAAGAGATCATGCACCGAAGCATTGTCAACCCAACCATCGACAACCAGGCTGACGGCTAGATGGCGTCAGAGGTGGCTAAAGTTGATGTATGTCATCGTAGCTTTCATGATACGCTCAGAAATCTCGGCCGTCACACCTTCGCCAGCACCCACATAACTACCCAGATACATGATCTTGTCGACAGCTTGGAGCGGTTCATCTGCAACAGTTAGTGAGTGTACAGATTCCTGTCAACCTTGTAATGGTACGTTCTAAACACACAGACACTGGTCGTCAGTCAGCTGGTTGAGTTTGATTTGGTCAACCTGGATGCTGTCCCACAGTAAGATTATTTTATCTGCATACTTGAGGTTGGAAAGACTTCTTTCCCCAGGAAACAGATCCACACCACAACCACCACCATCACTACCTTGGACGTCGTTTAGAGCTGACTCCAGAATGTCATCGATTTCAAAGTCAAAGAGAGAGAGAGAGAGAGACAGTGTTAGGAAATTGGACAACCTTGTCGGGTACCTCCACTAATAGTTGGGGACAGTGATGATGATAACTGGTTGTATGACCTCACTGCACCTGAGGTATTTCCGCTTGAGTTTTTCAGGTGTTCAACAATCTTCTCAGGTACACCCGTCTCTAACAGACAGTTCAAGAGCACTGTGCATAACATTGATTGATATGAAGTGATTGATTGTGTTCGTTTGTATGTGTGGTAATCAATTCCGAATGGTTTCGATAATAGTGTAGAAAAGTTACATAGGCGAAACTAGTAGATTTGGGTCAATCAGATTATTGGAACATAAAAATTTAGCTAGGCCTGGAATGATTCATTTCGGTATGCTGAATAACATGAAAAAAGCATCTCGGTCATTGCATGTAATCACAAAATAGGTTGAGTGGGACAGGGTGAGAGTGATAATGAGTGATGTAGTTAGGTGGAGTGAAAGAGAGATCAGCTAACGTATTTTTATTTATCGATCGTATACAGCACATGTGCAATCGAAATGATACAACACCGATACCAGATATATGCAAAGTCGCACAAAACAGCATCGTGTAGTGAGATAAAGGGAGAGATAGAAATATCTAAATGGAATTATGAAGTCGTGTGACTAGATTCATATGATTATGAGCAATAATTTTTGCTTGGATCGGCATACAGTTATATCAATAGAACACATCACTGTGTGCTATTTCAAATGAACTTAACTAATGTTGACTGGGTTTTGACCGTTTCTTGTGATTTCTGAGAATGATTCCTTGTTGTGAGTATTTTCATTTGAGTTTGATAAAACACGTTTTTCACTGAAATTGTAACATCTTCCAGTAAATCATAATATAGAGGAAGTTCGTGGCTGAGGTGGATGATTTTTTTCTTTTCTGATTTGTTTCTTGTGTGATCCCTGAGGGAGTCGATGTAATTACGAAGCTCTCATTGTCCACTAGTTAGATTGACCTCTTCGGCACAGGCTTTGATGATGAAGTGAACTCGTTTGAATTGTCAATGAATGATGGCATAGTTATATTTCAGCTGACAATGATTGTTGTGATTCCTTGTTAATTTACATTATTATTAGTATTGATGGTTCTGACTGACTTGGAATTTGACGACTTTTTATCATGTATCTAATTCCTTAATAGTTGGTAAATGTGGTCGACGGAAATGTGTGTTTGTCAACTGATGGTTGATTCATTTGTATACGAAGCTTGTAGGAACGCTCCAGCATTTTTTGGTGTTTCCTGTACTCTCAGAATCAAATTCATGTTCGTATTTTTTCTACATGGATCCATATGATGAGAGAATATACATATCGTGTCTCTTTGCAGCTAATTTGTGTTCATGGATTCTTATTCGAAAGAGACTCCTTTTTTGACCTACGTAATGTTTCTAACAGTTCATACAATTTAGTTTGTAAATGGTATTACTTCTTTCTTCTTTTCCTGTTAGGTCTTTCGGTTCGGTTCTCACAATATCGAATGAAGTAATTGTGATGTCTAGCTGGCTGGCTGACTGGCTTGTTTGCTGTATCTATCCATCTATCTGTCTTAAATGGTCTTAATATTCTAGGTGTTATTTCAGAGACACATTTTATGTATGTGGTAGACTGGTGAATTTTCATATGGTCTTTGATGTTGGCTTGTTGTTGGTGTTATGACTGCAGTTGAGACAGTTTTTGATGAAACTCTGAGGATATGCATTCTTCTTGAAGACAGTTAGTAGGTATTTTTCCTCAATTCTTCTCGTAGCAGGAGTGGTACGGTGAGTTTGATCTCTTTCTGCTCGCAGACCATTAAGCCAATGGGACCCGCCAATCCGATGACCATCCCATGAATTCTAACTTTTTCCAATTCATGACAGAGCGACTGCTTCGCAATTGTCTACAAGTTGCTCGCCTTGTAACCAGATGGTCTTGGGTTCGAACTACTGTGGTGGGTGCGTACTGCTGAAGCAGAGTCCCAGAGTAGGCTGACGAAACAACTGTCCAATACTCCCTGCGGCTGGTTTACGAATTGTTCTCTAACTGATGTCAGCCCTTGATGAAATCCTCCAACCAACTGGGAAAAGTCTGTAAATAAATTGATTTTAAATCAAACACATAAAGAAACAATAAATGACATCTATTACATAAGAGGTGATGACTCTTGCAGTGCCAAATGGTCTAGTCGATAACGCTTTTCGGTGATCGAGACGACGCATATTTGATTCGTCGTGTCAGTGGGGACCATATAACTTATTCACTCATTCACTCGCATTTAATGAAGAATGCAGAGACACTTTCCAAGTTGATGAGTCCCAGTTAGGATGAAGTGCGTGCACATTCTAGATTCTACGGTTAGTCAATATTCAGCAAATTATTTACTGGTCACTTTATTGTTATTCTTACTATTATTATTTCTACGAGCTGATTGACATCAGCTAGAGAACCATTGAAAACCAGCACTAGAGGACTGGACAGCTATTTCATCCTAGTTTTGGCAATCATCCCCAGTACGCAACCACTGAAGTTCGAACCCAGGATGTGGTTACAAGGCACGCTAGCTGGTAGACCATTCATTCAATGACTAGCCGCCCATGGATTCCAACTTCTACCAATTTACGATTTAGAGCGGGACCACCAACCAATGTCGTCGGTTGGGGGACATCCATCGTGACACTTGACGTCTAGGTGAACCTCACTGGTCATGACTTATCACTAGAACTCTAGGAAACTCCGTTCTGTAGCAAGTTACTAGCGAGCATCAGAGCTGAATGGTATACGAGCTAGCTTGCCTTGTAACTGGAAGGTCCTGTGTTTGAACTTTGACGGTGGGCGCGTACTGCTGATGACTGCCAAAACTAGGATGAAACAGCTGGTCAGTACTCCCTGTGGTTGGTTTTCAATGGTTCTCAAACTGATATCAATCCGTCATCTGTCTGTCTGTCTGTTTTCGACATAGAACTTTGCACAAATGTGCGGAAGTTCAAGTCGCCACATTCCGTGTAGCACGCGAAGCAAGAGAAGAAAGTACAAGAAAAGCATAATAGAAACAGTGAGCAGAGGTGTGAGACAAAGGAGTAATAAAGAAATACAAAACAGTTTCATTGGAGATCATAAGTCACAGGGAGTGGATGCATCTGCGCCACTGAGAACGATTTTGAGCCATGTCACCAATTGTTTCCAACCATAGATTTTTACCGTCCCGAGGACCCCAGCCTGGAAGTCTACACCTTCCTACGTGGCTTAGACCAACTGTTGTGGATTTCATTGACTGATGCCAAGTTTTTGTTTGACCGCCGCTAGCTTTTTTCCAGCCTGACCCTATATCCGCTAACATTGCTCGTCGAGGGAGGCGATGGCTTGGCATACGTAACACATGTCCTAACCATCTCAGTCGATGTAGCTTCACGACTTCGTCGATTGATTTCCCCTGTTTACCTAGAACTCTACGCCTAACCTCCATGTTGCTCACCTTATTATGCCACTTTACACGGGAAATAGAACGCAGGCACCTATGATCAAAGACAGCTAGTCTTTTCATGTCTTCCACTCTCAGTGGCCAGGTCTCACAACCATAAAGGAGGACGGAGCGGACTGATGAGCAGTACACCCGCCCTTTGGTCGATAGTCGAACATCTCGTCTACGCCAGAGTCGGCGTAAACTAACAAATGCGAAACGAGCCCCTTGTATTCGTGCTGAGATTTCGTCAGAGATCAGCCCGTTGGGGCTGATGGTACTTCCCAAATAAGTGAAGCGGTCAACGTGCTCTACCACTTCACTTCCTATTTTTAAACTAGGCGTCGATGTAGTCCAGTCCTGTAACATCATCTTGCATTTGGCGGGAGCGAATCGCATGCCAAACATTCGTAGATTGCGGCTCAAGGTGTTTAGAAGACTCTGCATTTCGTCAGCGTCTTCGCCTAGAAGGACTATATCGTCTGCATATTCCAAGTCAACGAGATTATTCCCCGGTAGCAAGTCAATCCCTGAGTCGCTGAAGTCACCTAGGGTTAAGTCCATTAACACATCTATGATGAAGTTGAATAGAAAAGGAGATAATGGGCATCCTTGACGGACACCACTGGTCGTCATCAGTTCAGATGACAGCTCGCCGTAAGCCCTCACCTGGCTGTATGAGTACGAATAGAGTGCCTTAATCAGTGCAATATATTTTCTCGGAATTCCCTTTACAGCCAAGCATCTCCAGAGAACTTCCCGATCGACAGAGTCGAATGCTGCCTTTAGGTCAAGAAATATAATGACTGTTGGACGCCGGTAGGAATGCCTATGTTCTAGAATCTGTCGGAGGGTGAAGATATGATCAATACACCCTCTTCCTGGTCTAAAGCCTGCCTGGCTCTCTCGTGTTTGTGCTTCCCGAGCACCACTCAGTCTACGCATGATTATTGAGCCTAAGACTTTAGATACTATATTAGTCAAGCTAATCCCTCTGTGATTATCACAGGAAGACTTGTCTCCCTTCTTGTATATGGGGATAATCAGTGACTTACACCAACCCGATGGGACTTCTTCTGATTCCCAGACGCTGCCTAGTACCTCAGTTAATCCAGACAGTAAGCTGTCTCCACCGTACTTAAATACCTCTGGCGTCATTCCATCAGGTCCCGCTGCTTTGCCTAGTTTCAGATTGGTGACAGCTTTAGTAACCTCAGTTAGTGACGGAGGACCTGTGTCTATATCCCATTCAGGGAGGTGTTGGATGCTCGGAAGGTTGAGCGTGGCTGTGGGCAAATTAAACTGCTCCTCATAATGCTCTTTCCAACGATCCAGTCGTCTATCCTGTGAGCTAATTATAGTGCCATTTTTTTCCGAGATTGTCTCACTGATGATTTGTCTTCTCCCACCCGTTTCCCTGATGAGTCCAAAGAGTTGCCTGGTGTTGCCTATCCTCGAAGCTTTCTCCATCTCTTTGGCTTTTGTCGCCCACCACTGTTCACGGTCCTTGCGGAGACTTTTCGTAAGTTTCCTCTTGTGCAGCTTTCGCTCCTCATTGAATTCGGAGCTCGCCGGAATAAGTCTTCTAGCATCTATCAGTTCGGATGAGGCGGTGGAGATCCAGTGGTTTTTACTCACCTTTGGGTTTACCTTATTCACAGCTTTTACAGCTGTATCTATGGCTGCCTGGATATTTTTCCAAGCTTCTTCAGGGTGAGCACAGCTGTCGAACACAGATATGTGTTTAGCTAGTTCTTCCTGAAATACGGATTTAGTTTCCTGATCGAGCTGGGGACGTGATGGTTTTACCGCCAGCTGTTTCCTACGTCCGTTCAGTCGTAAGCACACCCGAGCGCGGACCAGTGCATGGTCGGTATCTACGCACGTGTTCCAGAAGGAGCGACAATCTCCTACCGACCCACGCCAACGATAGCTTATTGCTATGTGGTCTATTTGTGTCCAGCGTTGGTTTGATGAAGGGGGTCTCCAAGTCAAACAGTGTCTTTCCTTGTGTTTAAAGTTAGTGCTTACAAGAAACAAATGATTATCAGAGCAGAACTGTAGGAGACGGTCACCGTTGTCGGTTCGCTGGCACGGAACTCCATAGGTGCCACCGACATCCTTCTCAGATTGACACAATTTCCCTACTTGAGCGTTAAAGTCACCAGCTAGAACGACTATGTCTGAGCGTTTAGCCTTTCCCACCAAACTAGACAGCTTTTGGTAGAACTCATCCTTCGTTTCATCTGAACTGCAGTCAGTGGGGGCGTAGGCGGAGATTACGAAAAGGCATCGGCGAGTAGTGCAGTCCTTCCTCCTTCTTACTGATCCGTTCAGGCGGACAGCACACATTCGGCTATCTACCGGGATCCAGTCAAGCAATGTCTTTTCTGCCCTAGTACTCAAAGCTATCCCTACGCCAGCTAATCCTCGTGAACTAGCTGTGGCATCTCCTGACACCCTCAAGGTGAATTTTGCAGATTCAACCTGTTGGCCAGGTGGGGTTAGGTGAATAACCACACTTGGGTCTTGTATGCGTGTTTCTGAAACTCGTAAAAACTATTATTATCATCATTTTGGTGAGATTTAATCCATCCGCATTTTTTTTTTCATTCATGTAGGAAATTCCTACTGGGTTTGGGTCTTCCAAACATTATCGTCACTGAACCACCGAGTGGTACTGGCACCACTTCAAGTATTGTAGGTGCATTTTTGGGTGGTATTGGTATTATATGCGGAATTATTACAGGTGTATACATTGTACGTCGTGCACGTATACGTTATCATCGAATTCCAGCGTCGAATGAAATCGATGAAGTTGCTGAAAATAATAATAACAATAATAATAATAATAATATTGGTGATCTTAATACTAATGGCAGATATGTAGAACAATATCAATATGAGAAACTGGTTCAACCTTTACCAGGATCATTAACTCATGGAGAAAATTCTCAAAGTATTCATCTTTTTAATCCAGTCAGTCATTTACAAACATCTGCCTTGATGTCAAATGATCCACCAGCTTATGGATCATTATCATTTAGATCGGATCAACCTAATTATTGACAGACGAAGTATGTGTGTGTGTGTGTGTGTATGTACGTATGTGCCCTCGACTTTAATCATTCACTCACTGATTGATACATTCTTTCTTTCTTTCTTTCTAAACACGCTATTTTCTCATTATCATCACCATCAGATCAATTTATTGTAATACTCTTTTTTATGACGTAATCATTTCTGTTTTAAATAAGATAATATTTGATAAATAGAGTTGTTTTGAATTTCCAACTTCACCCTGTCAACTGTTGTTCTGTAAAGCGAGCCCCACGATTTCACATCTGCTTTCATCCCTCCCCCGCTCATTATGACCCTCGGATTCACACCTAACTAGTCGTTCTCCATTCAGCTTCTAATTAAGGAGCTGTCTGGCTTGAGATGCCAAACACACACCAGTCTCTTCAGCGTGTGTCTCCAATCAATCTCCATATCATTCCGCATATTTCTTGATCAATAGCTTATCGCCTGTTCATTCGTTCACAGAATTTCTTATTCCAAACTCTTCCTCTCTCTCTCTCTCTCTGACTGGTAATCTGATCTTCAGTTTGCAGACAGCGAAGTGGACAGCTGTTGATAAAAGTCTTCATTAGTCTTGGATCGTGTTTTCACTCTCCGTTGTCTGCAACAAAGCGCATATCCTAAATCCGTAGCTGTCGAGTCACCTGACAACTCCAGTAGGTTGAATAAAGCAGCTCAGTATTCAGAAAGAAGACAAAGTAATAAGTTTGACAGGGTGCTTCAACTAAGCTCTAATCCTAAACACCATAATTTTGAAAAGCGTCGGTGGTATAGCGGTTAGCACGCTCACCGACCATGCATGTGGTCCGGGGTTCGATCCCCGGCCGGCGCACTCCTTTACCTCACTGAGCCAGAAATAATTCTGGTAAAGAGGAAAGGTTGGGCATGAGGCTAGCGACCCCATCCTGTAAAAATTAAACACTGCTACAGAAACTTCAAGCCACTAGCTTGAGGCCCTATGTTCCACTGGGAACGTGAAGGAAAAATTCTAAATTCTATAATTTTGAAAATACGTCTAATCATATAATTCTAGATACTAACAGTTTGAACAGACATGAAGGTGTGATGTTAGGCTGACGCATAGGAAATCCTGATTAATAAATAAAAATGGATATGTATCACGAATTAATAAAACTTGGTCGAAATTCCCGACTGTCTATATCTTCTTATGGAGACGTTAAGACATTGTTTTACAACTGTTTACCCACACACACACTTTTTGTTTAAAGTGTTTAACAAAAGTAGACTAATTTTGGAAGTCTGAAGTCAAATTTTGATCACAGATCATACAATTTTTTGTTTATTATACATGTCGATACCTGTTTCATGATTCATATGACTGGACAAAGAATTTAAAAACAAGTGATGTCCCGCTTTTTATATATGAACCTCTGTTATGTTAATTTCGATTAATTTCCCTGAAGAAGTTCTGACCAGTTTGCCGAACATAAGAAACGTTGGAATTAGTCATTTCAATCTCGCTGAGATTTTACAAATTTAATTTTTAACAAATGTCTACTTCTCACTCGGCCTTCAATCATTATTTTGGAACTATTCGGTGAAATCTTGATCACAGTTCATATGAATAATAATAATAATAATATTGCTATATCGTTATATGTCAAATGAAACTATTCATAATACACCAGCTCTACCTATTTCGGTAATAACTGCACGAACAACATCATTGACTTAGGTGTAAGTCTCCTTCCCCCTCCTCTACCCGTACAAATCCACGACAATCAAATATTCATACATATATATCGACTTTTGCTTTCAAATAAAAATCGAAACAGGTGTAATGGTTATGAAGCTGCATTATTATTATTATTATTCCCTTGGGGTCCTAGTGGAATATAGGGCTTCAACTGCACGTCTCCATTTGCCACTTCTGTCTTCCTTCTGCTGTACTTTTCACCTGCATCCATGTTAGTCCATACTCTTTCAACTCCTCTTCATACGATCTCCTCCATGTCACCCTTGCACTGACGTCCAACTCGCCTCTTCCCCTTCGGCCTGGTTCCACTCGAGCAATGGCCTGACGTTCGCGCGATGTCATCAACCGGCCTCCTCAGAAAGCGTCAAATCCATCTCCACTTTCTCCTGCATATTTGTTGGTTGGCGATTGGTTCTTGTTTTGTTTGTTTGTTCCCATAGTTTCTTGTTGGTGATTCTTTCCGGCCCGGACCGGCCATCTGATCTTCAGTATAGAGCCAGCGAAGACAGTTGTTGGTTGATAAATGTAACGTCAGCAATAGGCTGTTGGAAATATTCTTTGTGACCCGACCGCCAAGTTTCTGATCCGTATAGAAGAACTGACTTGACGTTTGTATTGAAGATCCTACCGAATTTTGTTGTTGATGCTGGCTGAGTGACGAAGATTTCCAGATTGGTTTCAGGTTGATGAATGCGTTTCTCGCCTTCTCGATTCTCAACTTGACATCCTTGTCCGTTCCGACTGCCTGCAGTTGAGACAATGCTCCCTAGATAAGTGAATGAAGTAACCTCTTTCAAATCCTTCCCGTTGATGGTGATTGGCACTGGATGTTGCTGCTGTTGTTGTTGTTATTGTTGGATGGTTGGTTATTTTCATAACCTCCGTTTTGTCTATGTTCACTTGGAGTCCTGTCTTCGCTGGCCGCTTCTTTGACCAGTTTATCGGTTTTCGCTTAAAAGTCTTCTATTTTGTGTGACATCAAACATAAATCATCCACGCGCGAAATCCAGGTCTTCTAGGTTTTTCGCGTCGGTCCAGTATATTCCTGTCTTCTCGTTTCCCACTGTCTGACGCATAATGCAGTCCACCACAATTAGGAATATCATTGGTGATAATAAGCACCCTTGTCTGACTCCTGTGTTTACTCCAAACACCTCACTGAGTTTTCCGTTGTGGATCACTTGACATGTCCCGTTGTAGTACAGCTGTTGAATAAGGTTGATGAATGTTTGGGGTACGCCGTAGTTTCCAAATTACTTCACGTTCAACGCTGTCGAAGGCCTTCTCAAAGTCTATAAGGTTGAGGTAGAGGTTTGATTGCCATTCCATGCTTTGTTCTGTGATGATGATGCATAGAGTTGCAATCTGGTCAGAACTTGATTTGCCTATAAAGTTGCATTAAAAACCATTAACTATTTAATAATATACATTTGACCTCCCGGTCCGTCACTAGGCATAAAGACAGTAGTGAAAAATCTTGCCAAGTAAAGTTAAAGTATCCCATCCGCTGAGATGCGAAAGCATGGGTGACCTTGAGCTGTCCAATCATACAAATAAGTGATTTTCACACAACAAATTATATTTATTTACAATAAAATACATCAAAACACATTTAACAGGGTATCTTTCTCTGACATGACTTAAAAATATCTCGGAATTATACTGAGGAGTATCGGTTTTTAAGTCAGACCAAACTAAATGGCCTCATGCTGAATCCCTCAAAATGCCAGACTGTCGACTTCTCCTTTAGGCATAAACGAGATCTACAAACACTAGTAAGCACTCATGATGCCTGTAGAATTGAGGGGACTATAAGTGAAACAAAGTCTAATGCAAAATACCTCGGATTAGTTATATCTTCCGACCTTACCTGGTCATCTCATATCCAAATGATTTCCAAGAAAGTGTTTCGTCTAACCTACTACATTAAGAAACTCAGACTAGCTGGAGTCCCTCAACCTCTGCTTTCACAATTTGTCAACTCTCGTATCCTACCTATTCTACTTTACTGTTCCCCGTTAGTCTTTCCTGGGTTACTGAAAAAGGACTATACCATCCTGAGAAGGATGTTGAAGGTAGTTAGTAGAACTAGTGGTGTAAAACTCAGTCAGCTCGTCACAACATTAGTGGATAAGCATCTGAATACATGCGAGAAATGGTCTAAAACCATACTCTCTGACCCCCAACACCCCCTCTATTCCCAACTCTCTCCTTGCATCTCATCAGGTAGAACCAGAAATCAGTACAAAATAATTTATGCTCGTACAACCAAGTATAGGGACTCAACGATACCATGTTTGGCCCGTGTTCTAAGTGACAGAGACAATGTTAAGCGCGAAACCTATGACTTGCTTTGTTTTTAATAATATGATTTTGGCCCTTGTTATTTCCCCCTTATACTCTCTTATATATACTCCATAGTGAACAAGCTTCTTATACATACTTAGCTACTTTATATTATTATGATTGGCTTACTTTTTTGTACTTTACTGTATACCTTCTTTTGTATATCTACTGGGTCCGACTATATTATCACTATGAGTATTACAAAATTGTCCTGTCAATAACCATCATGTAACATTAGTTTTGTGGTTGTTCTTTGTTCGGCACTATTTAACTGACAATCTTGTTTGTGAATGCAACTATCACCATCTTAAAAAAATTTTATATTATGGAGGATTACTCACACTACCACGACTAACACGGCATTGGTGCTGACAATAAAAAAAACAACCTGAAATGTTTATTTTATGATTGTTTAGTGTTGTTCAAATCAAATTAAGTGATCATCTTAGCTATTAACATTCTCATAATTTCTTCTACGATCATAGCTGTTAGTGTTCATCACGCATACACATATCATAGCTTCCATTACGCGCAGTACTGAAATATTTTTTTCATTATTAGTGTTTATCTTCCTTTCTACTTGGTATTTTTTTATTTGCATTTTTTTCTCTTTTCTTTTGTTTTTTTCTTTGTTATTTCTGTGTTTCGTTTTTTGGTTTATTTTTGTCGTGCTATTTTTTATATTTATTTATTTTTTTTGTAATACTCCTTTTAATGTACGATGAAATTAGATGCAATATTGTAGATATGTGCTGAAAATTCCACACTGTACCACAAGTACTGTTTTCTGGAATAAAGCGAAATTGTTATGTTATGTTATGTGCTTGTTTTCACTTAGGCGACTAAAGACGAGCTTATTACTGTGAGGCGTTTATCACTCTTATTATGCTTTACAGTCTAACCCAAAAGCTATCGATTGAATTAC